AATGTTTTTCTCCATTCGCGTACTCATTGATGGAGGACAGGAAGCACCACCGCCAGTGTTTTTCTGTGAAAGAAAGGTCTCAACAGGCCACCTGTCCACCGTTTCCGTCAGAACAAAAAACGGCCCTATGTAAAACTTTGGGATCCGAAGATTGCATGTATAGAGAAATCCGGTAAGATGGCACACCGAGCCCGGTAGCATTAAGATGGCACCCGAATTTGGTACACAGCCATAGGAGAAAAAAATTGGGCACCCCCACCTCGCAAAAGATTCAAAGAGGGACATGGCTCGTTTGTAGTCTGCTGTCATTTTCTCAGGATGCTGTTCATTTTCAGATACCACGCCGTACACCCGGTTTCGCCGTTGAGGGAGAAGAAACTTTGAGGTTTCAGTCATGTAGTAAGCAAAGTGACAGCCTTGTTGCATCATGTCAGACTCAACCGTCTCCACCTCAGGGGACCTTTTCAAACCATCAGAGCCAGTTCGCTGGAAAACCACATCTCGCACATTCTCGCATAAGCAAATTGGTGCGTTCAGTTTGACCCTTGCATCCCGAAACCCAAGCTGATAGGTCTTTCCCGATTGACAAGCATCTTCGCCAGAGACATCAGAATAGCACCCAACAAAGTCAGAGCGGCAAGTATTCCTAAGCCAGCTGTGGGAAGAAGTTGCATGGGCCTCTTACCAGATACATATCCAAAATGGGGTTGATCACAAAACTTGGGGGCCCAACCCAGAAGGATTTTGATAACCAAAGTGCTTCAGCTACAAAATTGGCAGTGAAGGTTTGATTTTCCATAATTGACGAAACCTGGTTTCTGTCAATGTTTTTGGTTCAGAATCCCCCTTTTCTCTATCTTGCTCAACTACCAAGAACGGTTTGAGCGTCTTGGAACCGACTTTGGGGCCCTAAGAAACATGACTTGCATACAAGCCTGAGATTCATCGAGCTTAAATTGACGCAAGAAGTGCCAGAAACCAGAACATCAGCTTCTGGAGTTGTCACTTTTTCGCCAGAGATGATGTTGATACCACTTCCGTTTGCGACCTCCGCAACGTCGGAGAAGAGGACCTCGGCCTCCCCCATCTGTGCGATGTGTTGCTGGCAGCTTGTGTCACTGTCGCAGGAGAGGACACACCGAACATTGATGTCGGTTTGATATCGATCTCTGAACGCCCTGCAGGGACTGTTCAAAAAAAACAGCATTTAATGAACACATATGATATTATGTAAATATGTATGTACAGACATATGTACATATTGGGAAATTATGTACGTATATGTATGTGGGAATGTCTCCAACATGGAGTGCCCAAAACTTTCTTTTTTCATCTGAAAAAATAGGTTTGGGGCACTCATGTGGGCACCCCTATTTTGAGACATCTCCATGTATGTACATAATGGGGATGGAATATAACAAGCAAATTCTGTTCGATATGTGTGCGTCCAAAAATGTAGCTCAGACATCCTCATTTGATATCACAATAGCCAAGGCACCCACAGCTCTCCGGAAACATTCCCCATACAGTAATACAGTAAGGGACCAAAGTAATTATGGAAAAAAACAGTTCAGAGCTCAGAGACACAAATCTTGAACAACATCACCCAGTTTATGTACATATGTAAGCTACTCTGTAAGTTCCCAACAAGACCCCAGTCCAACACGGCAGCATTGTGCAGGAAACTACTTGACAGCATCCTTGATGTTTTCCCTAAAAATGCAAAAATCAGCCAAACACATGGCCTGAAAATGGCTTTCAGAATGCTAGGCGATGTTTCTAAGCCAGAACAAGTGGTAGCCAGACGCACGGTTGCCCCATCCAATGCCCCTGCCACCAATCTCAAGCGGTCATGGTAGTTTGTTGTTAAGCAATCCATGAAATGGTGGGCAACCTGGACGAGGTCCTTTTGTGGCAAAGTGTCCAACGCCAAGAATTTTGATGACTCATTCCTTTCCAAATCTGATTTCAAGACCTGTTGGATGTGGTTGGGACCCTTGACGATTTTTCTCTCAAATGGTTCTCCGCTTCCCAAGGCTCGAGGAAATGGATAGGAATCTTCAATTCTCCGTACCACTGTTCGTGAGGAAGAGACATGGACATAGAAAGCACGGTCTCCTACCTTGTCCTTTGAATAGGGCTCGTTGGGGCCCAATGTCAGCACACCCCCCACCACATCAATGTTCTTGGAACCCACCCAGAGCAAGTTGGAATCACCCAGTTCGTCAGGGTCCAGCACAATACACGTGACCGTGCCATTCAGCAGCTTTTCCAATGACGTAGGTCCAGTTCTCCTAGGCCAGTCAGAGATCATTGACTTACATATGTATAGACCTGCATGTTTTTCCATAATTAAGTTTGTCCATTTTTTTCAGGAGGTTGGGTGAAGCACCTCAGATTTCTTTATGAAACCCTTGGTTGTTATGTATATATGTACATAATCGAAAATCTGCTTCAAGATTACCCACCGCTGTTTGGAAGTATGTATGTAATTTAAGGCTCGCAGTCTGTGGTGTTTTCTTTTATCTGCCAATGGAAAAGGAAACAATCAAATGCAAATGCAAGTTTCAAGACATGCACTTTTGCTGCGTGTTCAGTGCTGGATGCCGCTTGTGACGTCTTGCTGGGGGATTCTAGATCGTAGGAACTTTGTGATGGCTCTGAAGACCCTGAAGCCGCTTTAACCGACACCCATGTTACTGCACCATTGGGCTGGTCAAACTCAACCGGAAACTCCAATACCTTGACATCTTCCAAACGCCACGCCCAGCCGTACTTTTGTAATATAGCCGGGTCTGCTACTTTGTGAAGGTCAAAGTTGTTTTGCTTCCACTCGTCATCAACAAGGAAAGAATCCACCAGTGTAGCTGTTGCAAACAACTTCCCCCGCCAAGCCAGCCCAATGCTGCCACGGAAATGGACGTTCTTCCCTCGGAGTTCCATACGTTTGCCGTTGTAGAGGATTTAGTCCAGCCACTTCTGCTGAATGAGAAGAATCTTCGTGATCCCAGTGTCGTCAACCACATCCTGCAAAGTTTTGCCACCTGGCCACGGGGCGGATTGATAACGTCATATGGAAATCGGATATGTACCCTGAGAAAGGACATGAAAGGACTAGTTTTAGGTAGGGATAGATGTTGGAGTCGGAGGTGTCTGGGCATATATGTGTGTAAATGTCCATGTATGTAGATTGTTTGCTTATGGGCTGGCGCAATAGTCTGACCCAGGTTTTTTTCCATAATTCCACCGTCCTCAGCCTGACGAGGTTCTGGAGACCATGAGTGAAGACAACTTCGCACATGTATGTATGTGTGTGTCTGTATGTATGTATGTATGTATGTATGTATGCATGCATGCATGTATGTATGTATGTATGCATGGGTGTATGTATGGATGGATGGATGGATGGTTTGAACACAAAATAAAAAGGTACAACTACATGATAGTTGTCAAAAACGTATGTATCTTTGTATGTATGTATGAATGAAGTAATGGCTGAGTGAATGAACGAACGAACGAACGAACGAACGAACGAACGAACGAACGAACGAACGAACGAATGAATGAATGAATGAATGTATCTATGAGTGTATGTATGTAGAGTGTACATATCTATGCATTTTTCCATAATTCTCTGGGACTGGTTCTTGCCAGGCTTGGGCAGCAATTGCGTGTGTACATATGTATGTTTGTATGTGGCCATGTATGTGTGCATGTGTAAATGAAAAAACATGTATGTATGCATGCATGCATGACCAAGCATGGTTGAAAACAATGCATGTACATATGTATGCACTTGTATGTGCGCCCTCCCTTTCCCTTTCTAGAGCCCATGCTGAGCACTTTTCAGAGAGCGACCTGCAGATCTTGGAAATTGCGGCTGCAAATCATGAAGCTGCGGCTTCCAAATAAGTAATGTACGTTTGTGGACAAATTATCTGCGTTTTGCACGCACGTTTTGAATTTGGTTGCAGAAATCTAGAGACCACACCACTGTCACTTCAAAAATTGGGGCCACGAGCGCTTAGCTCCTAGCAGGAAGGCGTCCCCTTCTGAGCGACTGGCGCACATGAAACACACCGCATCATCATCACCCATTTTGGACTGTATGGTTTTCTTTGATGTGGTCCAAAATCCATCAGGGTGGTCGGGGCATTCGAAGCAAAAAAAAGAGATGGCTTGAAGGGAATAGAAGGAAAACTGTGCCCATCAGCGACACCAAGGCGAGCCAGCACCCCTTTCTGGTAGGCTCGGGCAATCCTTGAGTCAGAGGACCACACTGAATCCTTGGCATGCAACTTGTTGGCCAAAGGCTTCAAAAAGGCCAATGGACCAGAAATGAGTTGATTCAAAGAGTCAATAGTCGTGGCATTGGCAACTTGCTGATCACCACTTTGCTCCTCACTAGTGCCTTCCACAACCTCCCACTCTGAGTCATTTCGCGACTCTCCTGTGACCTTAACACTGATCTCCAACCGGCCCATCTTCACAGTCACACCTTCAACACCACGTTGGGGGCTTGTCATTAGAGGCGTGCGCAAGCGAAATGACTGCAAAACTGACGCTTCGTAGGATTTATGTAAGCGCCCGTCTAGAAAGATATCCTGGCCCCTTCTTGACCCAAAAGGTGCAACGAACATGACTTTGCGCATGCCCCCTGCTACTATATGAGCACCGGCAAACACAAATGTCTATGTACATATGCATATGTAACGAAAGTATGTAGGGTTGCTAACATGGGATTTTCCAAAATTCCCGATGCCCTCTGTCTGCCATGGAAATGAAAGGTGTTCGGGGAAAACCAACTGTTTCTGTTTATAAAAGTGTATCTTTCTTATCAAGTACATATGTATATGGTAGCGGTAAAAAACAAGGAAACATACATAATGGAAATAAACATGTGCCTTTTTTTTCCAAAATTAAGTTTTCCCCTTCTGAGCAATATCTATGTATGTATACCTATTTGCATGGCCCCATGCTAACCCAAACGGCGTGGTGGCCTCGCTGAAGATGCCGGTCTTCCTGCACAGACTCTGCACTAGGCTTGTGGGGGGCACCTACAAGGCATGAAGAACCACGGAGACAAAGATCAGGCAGAGCAAGGTGCCCTTTGCTGTGATAAACGTCCGTCGTCTGGCACAGGAGCAAATTACCACCAGCATCAGGATACACAAAGTCATAGTGCAAGAATCGCTCAGCTTGGTGATTGAACTTCGGCGAGTAAAACACATGGAGCACCGGTTTGCCCTTCGGCCCATAGACAGCATCTTCCAACACCTCAACCTGCTGGTTCTCCCTGGCTGACAAAGCCTTTGCAAAGTTAGGTCGCATGGAGCACCTGATCTGTATCTGCAAGACATGGGCTACGATCCACAGGTAGTAAACTTCTACTCCTGCGCCTTTCTTGAAATCCTCCCCCAATTCTCGCAAGAGTTTCTGCACCTCAGGGTCCGTGTCCTCCACCTGCGACTGGAATTCACGCAGAAGCTCGAGAAAATGACCCTGCAAATCACGAGCAGCCTTGAGCTCAGACTCCTCAATGTTTTTGACCATTGGTGTCCCATGGGGGCCGCGCCTAACTTTCTGCCACTCCTGAGCGACAAGCTGCTCATACTGGAAAAAATGTCAGAAGAGATGTCAGATAGAATGTCAGAAGGACAAACAACACGGTATTTCAAAGCAGAAGGGTAATGTGCTGTGAAATTGTTTTGGACAAAGATGTTTGTACGAAGACAAAATGTCAGATTCACAAAAGATCCCAGATAAACAGAAACACTCCAATCATACGAGCGACCAAGATCCCAGTGACCTTTGGATTTTCCAAAATTCCCGATGCCCTCTGTCTGCCATGGAAATGAAAGGTGTTCGGGGAAAACCTTTTGCATGGAAACTGTTTCTGTTTATAAAAGTGTATCTTTCTTATCAGGTACATATGTATATGGTAGCGGTAAAAAACAAGGAAACATACATAATGGAAATAAACATGTGTTTTTTTTCCAAAATTAAGTTTTCCCCCGTTCTGAGCAATATGTATGTATGTATAAAACTATATATATATAGTATATATATATATATGCACATGTGTTCTTGTATATGGATGTACGTTTATCAAATCACTTGATCGGATGATCATGGCAATTTCTTTGAACATATTTTTGACAAAAAATCGAAAAAAAACGTTTAAATTTCATTCCAATACCTTGAGAATGAACCACTGACTGTTCTAAAATTGATGTGGACATAATTTATGGATAGAAATCTCATTTTTGAACATATTTTTGACCAAAAAAAAATCGAAAAAAAAATCATTTAGATTTTCATTCCACTACCTTGAGAACGAACCAGTGAATGTTTTAGACATGATTGTGGACATGATTTATGGATAGAAATCTCATTTTTGAAAATATTTTTGACAAAAAAAAATGAAAAAAAAGTTTGGATTTTCATTCCACTACCTTGAGAACGAACCAGTGAATGTTTTAGACATGATTGTGGACATGATTTATGAATAGAAATCTCATTTTTGAAAATATTTTTGACAAAAAAAATCGAAAAAAAACGTTTAAATTTCATTCCAATACCTTGAGAATGAACCACTGAATGTTTTCAAATTGATGTGGACACAATTGATTGATAGATTTTTTTCTTTTTAAAAATTTGAAATAATTCAGCACATACGCACAATTTTAAGATGTCAATATGTTTTAAAAGCAATTCTTTTATTTTTCAAACTATAAAAGGGACATTTTTCATTTTGCATCAGATTTTTTTGGTGTCCACAATTGTCCACATCTAAAATTATCTATGTAAACACAATTTTTTCAAAAGATTTAATAAGTTTTTTTTCTTCCCGTTTGTGTTTGATCGACTGGGGGTCAGGCTGATCGGTCTGGGCCCGTTGTGTTTCCCCGGGGTGCTTCCCCGTTCTGTTACCCCCACCTTGGAGATTTCATCCGGTACACCTCCCGCTAACGCGCGCGCGCGCGTTAGCGGAAAGCACAACGGCTAAGATCTCCCCGGAAAATTTTCCCTCGTGGTAGTGTAACGGGGCTCCACCAGGGGGAGACACAATGGGAGGACAGGAACAGCCAAATGAAGAATGTCACGTTTATTGTCATCTTAAGAATGTCACGTTTATTGTAATCCTAGAAAAAACTGCTTTTAAAACATATTGACATCTTAAAATTGTGCATATCTATCTATCTATCTATGTATGTATGTATGTAAATATTTGTAGAAACAGGTTTCTGGGAAAAGGGAAATTTCAGAATCACAGTGAGCTCCAAGACACTGGTTGCTGCATGAGCAGCAGGCACTGCCAGAACGAAAGGCCCGACTTCATTGTTTGCACCAGGCCAAAGCGCTTCTTATCAGAAACCCGGTCCTGGGTTGCAAATCAGATGGGTTCCGCATACCATCCGCGCCACTGACTGAGGAAGTGTTTTTTTCCCATTAAAAAGGGCTGCCCTACTCTGTGCGGTTTATGTAAATGCTGGTTCTCGCTATGTATGTATGTATTCAAAGTTGATTCTGTAGAGGTGCGCATATGTGTGCCGGTAGCATTGTGTATGTACATATGTCCATGACAATATTTGCGTGTCAAGAATCATAAACAGCTTCCTCAACGATGTCCCGCAGTGAAAATGAGCACCCGTGCTGGTCTGCATCAAAACAGTGGAATGTCTCATTCGCAAGCCTCTTCGTCAAAAAAGACATCGAAACATGCGTCGCCTGGTTCGTTGCAGCATCGATCTGGAAGAAACGCATTGATCTGTCAGCTGTGACAGGGGCAATGTTGCCAATGAGTACGGCAAACTGCTCTGAGAGCTTCCCCGCAAGAGAAAATTGCCCCAACCAATCTAGGAGCGAGGCATCAGGTTGATCAACAGAAATCTTGGACTCAGAAACATCCACAGCAGCCATTCCCAGAACCCACACATCACCAGTATCAAATTCACCGATGTGTTTCTGAGCACTTTTGAAAAGGGCCTCTAAATTGGATGAAGCAATCAGCTTGGTTGTTCTCCAGATGGATGATGCCCCCTTGCCTTTCCAGTGGTTTCCAAGAAAAACTGCGTACCTCTTTCCCCCTGCATTTCGAACACTAGTAGTGAAGGCTTTGAGAGTACCGCCATGGAGACGAACAGCACACTCAGGAAGGCTAGGTTTTGCTTCCCCGGCTTCTCCGTCAGCAACTTCTGCCCCCACAAGATCGTCCCAAACCGCAGAGCCATCTTCAAAGCGAAATGCTGAAGACGCATCCGCCTGACGGGGCGCACGTATGTATGTACATATGTATGTATATATGTATGCATGTGTGTATGTAAGGTGACACTTAAAGTCTGCATGTATGTATGTGGCCAGTTTTACCCCACATGTACGCAAACATGTGTTGAAAATGTCGGTTTTAACAGGGAGTTGCTAATTATGGAAAAAGTAAGACCGCCCCACCTCCATGACATGATTGCCCTTCACAGACTCACAAGCTTCCAGGTGTTTGGAATTGCTCTCGACAGCGGCTTGGAAACCCTTCAACAGAGGTCCCAGTGAATTTTTGGCTTTGAGGTCCAACGCCGCAGCATACCATGATTCAGCCTTCTTTCTGGTGTCAAAAGTCTGGGTGATCTTCCCTACTGTGGAATCGACAACCACTTCAAACCGGTCTCCTATTTGGTGGATGCCCTCTGCTTGGGGGGGCTCTTGGATAGAGACAGCTCCGGTAGCCGAAGAGGTGCAGGGTCCATCGAAGCCAGCTGCACTGGAGGGATCTGCCGGGGCGACTTCCACCGCTGCTGTGGCCTGAATGAGTGTATGTATGTAAAACCGTGCTGATGCACGGATGTATGTATGCATGCATGCATGTGTGCTCATTTGCGTGCTCAAGATGTTAATTTGGCATGGGCCTTGTGAAGCACAAAGAATTTTGGAAAAAATGAATATAGATGAATATAGTGTATGTATGTAAGCCCAAACTAATTCCAAATATCCAAGTATGTACGTATGTATGTATGTATGTATGTATGTATGTACATATGTATTGGAACAAGCATGTTCCTTTCCCATTTCTGTCCAGTGGCTGCCTTTGCTTCTTTCAGCAGGTTTTCGAAATGCGGAGACAAACCCTGGTACAAGTGAATTTCAAAGGCAACGCGGGTGTCATAGATGCTTCTTTTGGGCTTGGCCTTGTGCTTCTCCAAAATTTCAGCACGTTCGGCCTTCTGAGCCTTGTCAAACGCCCGGAGGACCGTTTTCACGAGGGCGACAAACTGCTTGGCTTTCTCGACGGATTTCTCCTCACCCCCAAACTCAGCAAAGCGAAATACTCGGCTGCAAGACTGCGTAGGTCTGCAGGCCACGTGCTTTGAGAACCTGTGCGCTGTTCGGTATCTACATATGTATATGCATGTATGTATGCACGTAAGCTATTTGGCAATATACCCCACAGATTGCTGGGAAAACATAATTTTGGAAAACAATGGTTCCATATACATGGCAAGGTGGCTAAGCCAAAAACCACCCTTGAATGTCAGAATTTATGACTGGTGAGGGTCGCATAGATTTTAAATCCATCAAATGGGGAGAGGGTAAGAATTTTCAAAAGGAAGAGAGAATAATTTTATGAGATATAATATATGTATGTATTTGGGAAGGGGTTCATCACCATCTATAGCAAAAAAATAGTCAGCGCACCATCATCGGCAGAAGCAAAAAGGCAGAGCATCATGAACACGTTTCACTTGAAAAAACATAAACGGAAACGAAGGCAATCCAATCATCACACCATACCATTGTATCTAGTATCTGACCGCTTTGGAAACTTCCGCAACCCAAGAGCGGTTCGCTCCCTCCTAGTGGTCTATCTTCCTACTTACTTTATATACTTATATGTATGCCTATAATTGCCTATATACTTATATACTTATATATTTATGTATATATTTAAAACCCTCCTAAAAGGCTCCAGACCATACATTTATCTAGATATACCACTGGGAGATGTGCTGGAAACTTCCGCAGAAAGAGCGTGTCGCTCCCTCCCAGTGGTCTTTTCTCCTACTGATATATGCATGTACATACATATATTTGGGATCTCCTACTGTTACATCATCGATATTCCAAGTGTGTGCATGCCAAATTTTCACCGTAAAAAAAAGGGAAACCGTATTTATGGAAAAATCTGGTTCATCTGACCAAGCGGCACTTTGATGCTGGGGTGACCAGGAACATCTTTCCCGGCAGCTCCCATTGCTGCACTTGCGCACGGGGATTTGGATTTGGAGTGTGGCGCGTAGGCGCTGGTATGCAAGCAAAGGACTACCTATGTATGTACCATGTTGTTTGCATGTATAAATGCAGCTCCATTTGGCTTCTATGCCATCTTGGCCGCGTGTGTGCATACATATGTCGTCTTATGTACATCCATCATCACTGTACCCTCAAGGAGCAACCATCTTGGATCGATCTGGAGGCATTTATGGAAATGGCAGGCTGTATCCGTCACATATGTGCTGGTATGTACCTGCAAATCAAGAATCTGTGTATGTATGTATGTATGTATGTATGTATGTATGTACCGTTATGCACCCAAGACAGGCGCAACCCCTGTTGCGCGAGACCTGATTTTTCAGCGGCGGCAGTTGATTTTTGGATTTATTGTCGGGAAGCTAATGATAAAATGGGGTTTACATGTACATACCCGTATACATGATATTATGTATATCAATGGCAGGCTTTAGGGGCATATACCAGATCTTTAGACACATATTTTCTATAATTCAATCTTCCCCCTGAAATTGCATTCAAATTGCGAACATCACATGATATTATGTATATCAATGGCAGGCTTTAGGGGCATATACCAGATCTTTAGGCACAAATTTTCTATACCATCCGGTAAACTAACATAGCTATTGAAAATTGCCATTTATAGTGGATTTACCCATTAAACATAGTGATTTTCCATAGCTATGTTAGTTTACCAGAGGGTAATTCAATATTCCCCCTTAAAATGTATTCAAATTGCGAACATCACATGATATTATGTATATCAATGGAAGACTTAGGGGCATATGCCAGATCTTTAGACACATATTTTCTATAATTCAATATTCCCCCTTAAAATGCATTCAAATTGCGAACATCAGATGATATTATGTATATCAATGGCAGGCTTTAGGGGCATATACCAAATCTTTACACACATATTTTCTATACCCTCCGGTAAACTAACATAGCTATTGAAAATTGCCATTTATATATAGTGGATTTACCCATTAAACATAGTGATTTTCCATAGCAATGTTAGTTTACCAGAGGGTAATTCAATATTCCCCCTTAAAATGCATTCAAATTGCGAACATCACATGATATTATGTATATCAATGGAAGACTTAGGGGCATATGCCAGATCTCTAGACACATATTTTCTATAATTCAATGTTCCCCCTTAAAATGCATTCAAATTGCGAACATCACATGATATTATGTATATCACTGGCAGGCTTTAGGGGCATATACCAGATCTTTAGACACATATTTTCTATACCCTCCGGTAAACTAACATAGCTATTGAAAATTGCCATTTATAGTGGATTTACCCATTAAACATAGTGATTTTCCATAGCTATGTTAGTTTACCAGAGGGTAATTCAATATTCCCCCTTAAAATGCATTCAAATTGCGAACATCACATGATATTATGTATATCAATGGAAGACTTAGGGGCATATGCCAGATCTTTAGACACATAATTCAATATTCCCCCTTAAAATGCATTCAAATTGCGAACATCAGATGATATTATATATATCAATGGCAGGCTTTAGGGGCATATACCAGATCTTTAGACACATATTTTCTATACCCTCCGGTAAACTAACATAGCTATTGAAAATTGCCATTTATAGTGGATTTACCCATTAAACATAGTGATTTTCCATAGCTATGTTAGTTTACCAGAGGGTAATTCAATATTCCCCCTTAAAATGCATTCAAATTGCGAACATCACATGATATTATGTATATCAATGGAAGACTCAGGGGCATATGCCAGATCTCTAGACACATATTTTCTATAATTCAATATTCCCCCTTAAAATGCATTCAAATTGCGAACATCAGATGATATTATGTATATCAATGGCAGGCTTTAGGGGCATATACCAAATCTTTACACACATATTTTCTATACCCTCCGGTAAACTAACATAGCTATTGAAAATTGCCGTTTATATATAGTGGATTTACCCATTAAACATAGTGATTTTCCATAGCTATGTTAGTTTACCAGAGGGTAATTCAATATTCCCCCTTAAAATGCATTCAAATTGCGAACATCACATGATATTATGTATATCAATGGAAGACTTAGGGGCATATGCCAGATCTCTAGACACATATTTTCTATAATTCAATATTCCCCCTTAAAATGCATTCAAATTGCGAATCGATGGACATTACGGCACCGACAGAATTATGGAAAAAAAAATAATTATGGAAAAAATAATTATGGAAAAAAAAAGGTTTGTAACTTTTCTATCATAGACAGGCGGCGCCTGTAAATTGAAACGTTTTTTTTTTCCATAATTCTGTCGGTGACTGTATATATAATATATAATATATATATAATATATATATAATATATAATATATATTATATATATTATATATATATAATATATATAATATATATAATATATATAATATATATAATATATATAATATATATAATATATATAATATATATAATATATATAATATATAATATATATAATATATCTATATTCTCCTTGCTCTCATCTCTCTCAATCTTATACTCTATCTCCTCCTCTCTCTACTCTCCTCTCTCTCTCTCCTCTATAATCTCTCTCTCTCATCCTCTCCTATACTATCTCTCCTCTTCTCCTCTATCTCCTCTCTCTCCCTATCTACTCCTCTCCTCCTCTCTCTCCTCTCGCTCCTCTCTCTCCTTCTCCTCACTCTCTCCTCCCTCTCACGTCTCTCTCCTCTCCTCTCCTCTCTCTCACTCTCCTCCTCTCTCCCTCTCTCTCTCGTCGCTCCTCTCGCTCCTCTCTACCCTATCTCTCCTCTACTCTTCTCCTCTCATCTCTCCTCCCTCTCCTCTCTCTCCTCTCTCCTCATCATCTCCCCTCCTCCCTCTCTCCTCTCTCTCCTCTCTCTCCTCTCATCTCCCTCTCTCCCATCCTCTCTCCTCATCTCTCATATATATATATATAATATATATAATATATATAATATATACAGGGCGGTTCATATTAGGGGAACGGGACGACCCCGACTCGTTTTTCTCTGCGTTGCCGTTGGCTGATCATCGGGGCGTTGAGCGAAGGTGTAGAAGGCCACGCGCAAGTCGTCTAAGAGGACCCTGGGAGATGTCCATGGATTGGTTTGGAGGGAAAATCTTCACCGGAAACCATGGATTTTACGACCAAAAAAAAAAACAGGATATCAAAAAGGGGTGTCCGAAAAGTAGAGATTCCCGGAAAAAAACAAACTTTGGATTGGATATGGTTGTAAGGATTCAAACCGAATAATACCAAATATATATATATATATATTATTGTATAGATGTATATATGTAAACTGGCTAATCTTAGGATTGTATATGGGGGGTTCCATAAATAGGGATACCGGAATACCCCAATAGCTTATTGGTTTATTTCATGGAGAATCCCACAGAAAAATGGATGAGAACTGGGGGATACCCCTATTTTGGGAAACCTCCATATTGTTTTAAGGATTCAAACCAAATAATGCCAAATATGCATATACGATGTATGTAAACTTGCTATCAACCAAACAACAATTCGACATTGCTAATCTTTGATACGAAACACACATTTTAGTTTGTTTTTGGCGGCTTAGTCTACTTTTCTCATTTCCGGCTTTGCCAATTTGACTAAAATTGGGCTGCCAAACCAGGGTTGACTGTGCGATCATAGGACGATGGCGGATGGTTTTGGGTTTATCATATTACCATATTGCCTTTCTGGGGAACCCAGAACTTGCACCAACAGGCCTACAGGGTTGGAAAAAAACATTATATCATATAGCAAATGGGCATGTGAATCAATACAATCTTCAGAGCTTTGATCCAGATATATGATATGATGTGATGATATGATATCATGAGTTACTCATGACCTATAGACTCGGAAATGTATAGAAATGTGGATATAACTCATACAACCTGTGAGATTGGAACCTTCATTGCAAAACCCGGTCTTGGCGGAACTCGTCTGGTCCAGTCACACATTTTCTTTGGCATTTTCCAAATAAACATTTATTGTGGTTTTCTAAAAATAAGGTGCCGCAAGAATTGGTGGTTTCTCGAGCAAAATCAACACCTTCTCCATCATCTCCATCATTTGATGCCAATTTTGGGTCTCCGGCATTTCTGACATCTCTGGCAACAGGGATGCCTAAACAAACCTCAAGCTGGCTATCCTCGGACCTGGTTGAATCCTTCTCGTCGCCACGGTTTTCACGCGAGTGCATAGTGTTGAAAGGGTGCGGAATTTTTTGGGGAATTTTTGTTTTCTTGTTTTGGGAATTGTATTTTTTTTTGGTCGTGGGCACGGTTTCCTCACTTTTTCCTTGTTTTCCATGACTTTTCCTTGGTTTTTCATTGGTTTTCCTTCATTTTTCCTCACGTTTTCCTCGTTTTCCAGTATTTTTTCTTAGTTGTTCATTGGTTTTCCTTCACTCCCCTCACTTTTCCTCGTTTTCCATTACTTTTTCTTTGGTTTTTCATCATTTTCCTAACATTTTCTTTCCTTCCTCAATAAGAAAACAGGAAGGGGGTATGGGGGAGAGGGCTGAGGAGGAGCAGTAGCGTCCACTCAGAATCAGCTAAAGCGTCTTCCCAGGCAACCTTATATACAGATATATAGATATATAGTGGTATATAGATATATAGATAAATATATATATAGAGATATATATATAGATATATATATATAGATATAGATATATAGATATATAGATATATAGATATATAGATATATAGATATATAGATATATAGATATATAGATATATAGATATATAGGTATATAGATATATAGATATATAGATATATGTATATATATATATAGATATAGATATAGATATAGATATATAGATATATGTATATATATATAGATATAGATATATAGAGATATATAGAAATATAAAGAAATATATAGATATATATATATAGATATATATAGGGATATAGATATATAGATAATTATATACATATTTAGATATATAGATACAGCCATAGATGTAGATATAGATACAGATATAGATAGATATAAATAGATATAGATAGATATAGATAGATATAGATAGATATGGATAGATATAGATAGATATAGATAGATATAGATAGATGTAGGTATACATGCATGACTAATCATGACTATATGCATATGTAGATCAATGTATTTACAAGTGTAATCAATATATCTGCCGGGTTTGGTTTTAGGGTTGGTTTTAAGGTTTCTTTAGGGCTGGTTTAGAATCTGTTTAGGGTTTGTTTAGGGTTGGATTAGGGGTTATTTAGGGATACAATATGTACATACAAATAACTATACTTATGTGGACGCATATGCATGCACATGATTATTTACAGTTTATTTTGGGATACAACATGCACATACAAATAACTATTTTTTGTGGACGCATATGCATGCACATGATTATTTACAATTTATTGGGATGAAAGCTGTGTATATAAACAACCATATGTATATATATATACAATATATATATATAGTCTAACCAAACTAGTGTATTGAAATGTGTGCAAGTTTGAATTTAAATAAAAAAAAGCGGGAGGAGGGGGATTGGGGGGGAGGGCGCAGCGCCTCCCCCCAAAGCAGATTGGAAACACCTATTTTCACATGCAAGGTGCTGGGTTGAATGTGATACTCAAGTTAAGGTGTATATACTACACGACATGCACCTTGGAAACATGTGGAATGTAGATTAAGGCACAACGATGCACAATAGTTTCATTTGATGTTATCATCCGGTTGGTTTAAGATCTCTTTATATAAGCTTTGGTTCAGGGTTGGCTTGGGGTTTGAATATCATCCGGATGATAATGCA